CATTTCTAGGTTAATTTCTTGGAAATGCTGGGCCTGGTTTATGGCTCTGTCTGTGGAGCAGGAGTCAGCCTGAACAGATTTAAAATTTTCTAGGGAACAAGAGAAAACCCTAAAGAGATTAATCCTAAACTAGAAAAAGCTGTAGCAGTATATACATAGGAAATATCTGTCAGTGTATCTGAACCCATGTACCGCTGTGCGATCAGTTGCACTGGACTGACCATCCAGAAATGACAGGCTGGGAAATATGTCCCCATGTTCCAGCAAGTTCCCGGTACTTAATGTTTTAATGTTACTCTGAGTCAGAATATGCCTTCTCTGTTTTGGGGTTTTTTTTTTCTTTTTTTTTTTTTTTAAGCTGGTGATTAGATGGACAGGTTTTAAACAGAACAACATGTTTCTGGCAGAAAGGACATCATAACAATCCAGGGAACTCTTAAAAGTTGGAGACGGTCGTGCTGCTGTGTGCTGTTGAACAGCTGCTGTATTTCACTCCAGAAGTGGCTGGTTTTCAGTGGCTCAGGCACTGAGGTCCCTCTATAAATGCTTACATTTCTAATGTGTTTTCAGGGCTCCTAGAGATGAAAGTGCTTTATGTAAACAGCATCGTTAGTTTTCATAGCTTGTGCAGCCGTGGCTTTTTGTTTTGTTTTGTTTTTTAATCTTCTGGTTTTGGCTGTGTCTTCAGGCAAAGTAGGGATGAAAGCCTTTTGGTTGTTACTCTGTCCTTTAGGATAAAATATGGCCCGGGCCCGATCCTGCATTCCAGGCATTCCCCAAAATCTTCTTGGCTGTTCTGCAAGTTTTGAGAGTGCACAGAAAGTACTCTGGCCCGTAATGTGCCTGGATCTATTTGCCTCTGACAGTCAGTCCCCTCTCTTCTTAAAATGACTCTCATTACACCAAGTGACATTGCTCCTTGTCAAAAGAGATGGGGAAATAAGTGTGCTGGCTGTTTTCTGCTGAGGTATGTTTCTCACAGCAGCTGCTAGGGGTTTGTTGGTTTTTTTTTTCCCCTCCTTTAAGCTCTTATTCAAGTTAGGGTTTAGTTCTATTCCCAGTGAAATATATGGATATTTTGATATGTGGCTTCCTAGTTCTCACAGGCATTTAAACAAAACTTGAACTTTTTTTTTTTTTTTTAAAAAAGAACTTCACTAGCCACTTTTGGTCTTTCCCCGCATGTGGAGCACGCCAGCTTTTCTTAGAAAAAAACCATGTTGCAGTCCAGATTTCACTCACAGCACCGTTCTTCAGAAGTTCAAGCTGGAACAATGCAGACATGGGAGGGAGGATCAGAAACCATCTGAGGGCAAGTCCTCCTTTCTGCCCCACATTTCACAAGGCAGTCACTGGGTTTTGGTGCAAGATAGAAACAAGCTATTTGGGTAAATTCTTACTGGAAGCCATACAAACTTCTCGGAAGCAGATTGTGTTTTCTGTTTCAAAACTGGGAATAGCTCAGCTCTGGGACTTCTGCTGGAGGAACTTTCCATCAATGCAGAGATTTAAAACAAAAAAAAGTCCGGTGTCTTAGAAATAGTTCAGCTCTTCTGTCTCTTCGCTTTTACTATAAGAAATGATTATAGGCTAAGGTCACAAAACAGAGCCACTAACCTCTGTTTGAACTTCCTCGTGTTCGGCACATGTGGGTATTTCATTATCGGTTCGGAGGCATAGCTGACTGACAGGCTGTGCATACCAGGAAAATGTGCAATCTTACTTTTAAGTCTTTCTTTCAACCTCCCCTACTTCCTCCATGTGCGTATGGAGGAGGAAGCTGTATCTTTAAGAAATACATTTTTTTTCCCCGTTTCCTCTGAAATATTAATAGCTGCTGCCAATGGGATGGAGCTCTTTAAGGGTGTTGTGTAAAATATCTCACTCTGCGTTCACTGCAGCGCTGAGCACATAGACGTCTTTTTATTTTTCTCCAGAGAAGGCAAAGACAGGGCAAATTTTGGAGATTGGGCAGCAAGGATGCTCTGCAATAATAACAGTAACAACCATTCCGTTCCCTGCACAAAACTGGGAGCTATTGACTATTCATGGCAAAGCGTCCGAAGCGCAGCAGCAGAGCCTGTGGAAAATGACAGCGTGTAACAAGATTGACTGGCATTTCCTTCGCGCTGGGTCACATGCCTCCTAATTCACACACACACAAAACCTCATAGGCTGATCAAATGACTTCTATCTCTGCAGTCCACATACCTTCCACAGAAAGAGTTGTTTTATTATGCACATACACAGCTCTGTTTTCAATCAGTCACCTTGAGCGAATGACTGAGGGCCACTGTTTGCTCCGTCCGGAGGTCTCTGCGTTTGCTCTCTAAGAGGCATAGTCTCCATCCGTAAGCAATTTATTTTTTTTCCTCTGGGGGGGGAAAAAAAAAAAGAAAACAAATACATAGATGCCCTTCCTGCCTTCCCCTCCCCAGAAACCTTTCTAGGAAGTTTGCTTGGCTTAACTGGCAACGCGCAGGACGGTCACCACTGTCGGTGAGCGTTGCGGTGGGCTGCGCTGGGAAGGATGGATTTTGGCCTCGTGCCTCTGTGGGGTTGCAGCGGGCCTATGGCTCATCTGAGTAGGAGCTTGCGGGATGCTGCCCGCTCGCTGCCTTAACACCGAGGGGGGAGACTGGGAGCACAGCTGCCCGCCGTGGGTCACGGCAGATTGAGATGCCGGGGGTCTGTACGAGCCCTCCCAGTTTAGCAACTGGCATGAGGTTCAGATCACCTCGACCTCCCGGAGAGAGAGGAGTATGGAGTGATGAGGTGAAACCAGCCACCAGCTGGCTTGCCAGGACATGGTAATTAGCTCAATGCAGTGCCAGCCTTATTAAGGGCAGTGCAGGTGATGATGACGTTGGCACACTGATTCATTACATCTGGAGGGGAAAATCCGCCTAGTAAATGCTGAAGCACAGTAAATATTTTTGGCTCCTGACAGATTGATCCTTGCATTATGCTGATTAGCCTATATTTGTGGAACTGAGGAAGTTAAAAATAAGGTTGGTGGAAAGCTACAAGATAAGGAAAGGATTTGCATTTTATGGCCACCAGCAGTAAACTTTTTTCATTTGTTTTTTGGGGTGGTAAAAATTTCAACACTTTATTTTTTCTCCCCATTCCCTTCTTTGGCTCTAGGTTTCACTGTTAGGTGAAAGCCCATAATTTATTTTCTCTTGCCAGTAATATTCTGGAAGGGAGCTGTAAATCTAGAGCGCACACAGTTGGGAAATGATTTCTGAAAGAATTCTTTTGCAAATACGTGGTGCAATCCTGCAAAATGCTTTGGCCCTGACAGACCTTAGGGGGTGGTACAGACATATCAAAGCGTGTAGCAGCATGTATACTCAGTGAGAGTGGATGCTTTGGACTTTCCTGTGAGCTTTGCGAGCTGTAAGTTCTTGGAGATAAATGATTAAACCAACTTCTGACTGGTGCTGTTTTGTTTTCCTACACTCAGGCTCTCACCTGAACTTTCACCACCTGGTATATGCTGTTGGGATATCCATAAGAGATCGCCCAGGAATGGTGGATCACTTGCTGCCTACTGATGAATCCTTTTCATCTACAAGATCTTCTCTTGGATACTTTGGGGACATGACAGCAGGGGTGAGGTCCTACCAAATGCTGCCCTCTCCCCTGTCGGAAGATGACAGCGACTCGTCCAGCTTTTGTTCTTGTTCCAGCCCTGACTCCCAGGTTCTCAGCTCCAGCTATGGAAGCACGTCCAGTGCGGAAAGTCAGGACAGTATCTTAGACTACTTACTGTCCCAGGCATCTTTGGGGAACACCGCTGCGTCATGGTGGGACAAAAGGAGACTTCAGCCAATAGTGAAAGAGGAGTACTTTAGGTTGCCTGAATTTGCCGTGGATATGGAAGACTCAGGACCATTTCAGCCCACGCTTGAGGAAATTGAGGAATTTCTGGAGGAGAACATGGAGTTGGAGCTCAAAGAAAGACCTAAAAGCGAGACCAAGGACTTGAGAGCTTGCAGCCAAGTTTCTGTTGCTTCGCTACAGCAAAAAGACCATATGTTACCCAGCGCTAGTTTAAAAGAGAGTAAAAATGAACAGTTGAGCAGCTCGGCGGAAGGTGGCCAAGCTTCAAATGGAGGAATGTCCCTGGAGAATGGGATACCGGTTATGCTCCAAATTCAGCCTGTACAGATCAAACAGGAGTCCAACACAAGCCCCAGTTCCCAAGGACCAGCACAAGAGAACATTAAAATTGCACAGCTCCTAGTCAACATCCAAGGACAGACATTTGCCCTTGTGCCTCAGATAGTTCAGTCGTCCAATTTGAACTTGTCCTCTAAATTTGTCCGCATTGCTCCTGTCCCCATCGCCGCCAAGCCAATTGGGCCAGGAGGCATGATCCAGGGTCAGACAGGAATCATCATGGGTCAGAAATTTCAAAAGAACCCTGCAGCAGAACTCATTAAAATGCACAAATGTTCTTTTCCTGGTTGTACCAAGATGTACACGAAAAGCAGCCATTTGAAAGCCCACCTGAGGAGGCATACGGGAGAAAAGCCTTTTGCATGCACGTGGCCGGGTTGTGGATGGAGGTTAGTATTGGGGTGCACCACTGTCCAATCCCCCTTCCCCTTTTTGCTCACTTGACCTAGCTTGCCGAGCAGGTAGGTTTGCACTCTGATTTATAAACTGTTTCTGTTCCCAAAACTTGTTTGGTTGGTTTGAGAATTAAGACTTTTCTTCCTGTTAGGTAATCCAGGGGCTTTGATAATTAAATAGCACAGCATCACCTGCTGGCACCAGCTGTTTAAGTGTCTTACAAAAAATAAAAGTTGCCTGTTGTTATTTGTATTTCATTCCAAGAGGGTCAGATTAAGCTTGTTACTGCAGGCAATACATCGGTCTGGTTGCAACACACCAGCTGCAGCAGATGCTTGGCTGGTACCAGCTGAGGGCTGTGAGTGAACTGGATGGTTTAGGGCAGAATCACTGAGTGTGGCTGCATGTGGCTCCAGCTGCAGGGGGATAAACATGATCACTGAAGGGCTGTGATAAGCGAATGTGGTTAAGAGCAGCAGTATGCTGTGCAGTTTCATAGAAAATGCACTCCATCCCACTCCTTCTGGAAATGCTGGCAGTGACGCTCCGGCATGCTCTGGGTTTTATTCTCTGCGTTGATTCAGAAAAATGTGTGGGTGCCACTCAAAGTTGCAAAAGGCTGTCAGATGTAACAACATAACCAGAAGGCTGAGGTGGAGTTAAGCATTGCTTGAATGAAAGATTGCAGGTTTGACTGAACAAAACATTTTGCAGAGGATCTCTCTCGCGTGTTTTTTTAAGTTGTTTGGTTTTTTTAATACTAGTTGAAAAATTAAAACTTTGTTTAAAAAAATCAACTTTTTCTTTTAAGGAAACTTTGATGGAAGCCTTCCTCCCTCTTTCCAAATAGCTGTATTACTAGCATGCCTGCTGGCAAGTGTTAATATACAGCACCACAAATTATGATGGGAGAAAACAAAGTCTTCACTCCCTTGTATTAAATTAAACTGTTATTTCTTTCAAAGAATATCTCACAGAGCTTCAGCGAGCAATGTCTAATGAGGAAATGGGTTGTGATCATGGGGAACAGATGAGGTAAAAAGTAACAGGAGAGGGTTGTGTAAAAATGCAAGTATGTGAGACATGCAGCAGTTAGAGATGGCTGGATTGGCTTGAGGGAAAAGGTCAGAATGGGGCTGAATCCTCTGCTCCCCAACTGGACCAGTTTGAAGCTTGTGTCTCGGAAGGACTGAGGAGATCAACGTAACTAATTTCTTTGGTGGTTTTCTTTCTGGTTTCAGTTTATGGTGGCTCTACAGACTGGTGGTGATTTTCTTTCCTTTTGTCCTGGTGGCACTTTTCATGAGCTGGGCTCAGTGGCTTGCTGCTGAGGATGCACTGAAATTAAAGCTGTGTTATTTAGCTGATTGGTCCCATAAGCCGCAGGCTGGTTTGCTCCTGACCTGCAGGAGAGGCACTCGCTCCTTTTTGTTTGGTTGCCAGAGTACGTGCGCACAGGCAGCAGATGTGCCTCCTGCCTGTGAATGTGGCTGTGGGTGTCATGTTGGCTTTCCTTGCGCTGGGATGTGAGCAAAACTCATTTTTGCGACAAATGCTTGTGGCACATGAGGGTTTGTCTGATCCATGCTGAGATTTATACCAACGCTCCCAGTGACTTTTGTGGCTCAAGATCAGGAGCCTGAAGTGTTGCCTGTGGGTGACCTTCTCCAGTTCTGGCTTATTACAGAGCTGGTGTTTCCCAGGCTGCAAAACCAAGGGGAACATTTAGGAAAAATATTAAGTGATAAGGGATGGAGATTGAATGTACACCGGGGTGCCTGCCTTCTCCCAGAGTTACAGTGAAGGGTGTGGATCAAAAGCAGGATGCAGGTGTAAGGTGGGCCAAGAGAAGTGCAGGTCCCACAACCAGGAGCACCCTGAACTTTCACTCTCAGCCAGCCACAACTTTTTAAAGATGAGGAACCCAACAGGGATGAGAAATTAATCACCTTAGCTACGAGGAACACGTGTCTTGTCCACCAAGAGCTTCCGGAAGGGCTTTTCAAACTCTCTATTGCTGTTTGTCGTGTTGCATTTCACAGCCCAGGCTGGTTCCCCAGTCCCCAACACCCCCAAACTTTGGAAGGGCTCTGCTCTAGGGGGGAGGCTTATAGCCAGCAGGAGAGGCAGCGCTTGGGGAGCTGCTTCCTGTGCTCACAGCAAGCCTTAGCTCTGGCCTGAGATTCCTGCACATCCCCTATGCACTGCTCCCACATCAAAGACCATACCCAATTGAGCACTGAATTACTCAGTCCCCTTTCATCAATAAAGCATGTTTACCTTTTCCAGTGAGAGCTGTGATCTCACGTGACTTAAGTCAAATGCATCTGGACTCTCTGTTTGCTCCTGGTTTTATATGATCTCAAATGATTTTAAGCACTAAAACATTGCTGGGCTCTGTTTTCCCCCTCCTTTCGCTGCGTTCTTGAGCTTGCGTATTTATTTTTTCACCGAAGACGCTTAAGATCTGACCTCACTGAAGATAGTAATTTCACAAACAAAACAAAGTGTTGCCTAGCACAAAGTGGCTGAGCTGTGGGGTATTAAAGCTTCCCCAGCTTTCTGGGCAGCCCTGCTATGGTGAAGTTGCATGCTTTAAATGCACCTAGGTAGGGGTGCGCACACAGCAAACCCTTTTGCTAAGCCCCAGGACAGCTGGAGAGCCCCGAGCACCTCCCTAGAGGAGACTGAACCCTGCTTGCTTGCGCCCTTCCTTGGCACGGGGCAAGGGCTGTTTTCGGCAGGCTGCAGAGAGGTGTTCATAAGTGGCCGGTGACCCGTTGCGTTCGATACCCCGCTGTACCGGTCAGCGCGCTGATCCGTGTCATGCCAGCTTATGCCTTTGGCACACGGCAGCCTCTGGTTAGCGCTGCTCCTGAGACGGCCCCGACCAAAAAGCTGAGCTGCGGCGTGGGCCTGTCCCCAGTAGCTGAGTTGTGGCATGGAGCAAGAGAAGCTCTTCCTTTCCCTCCCTTGGCGCAGCAGCGTACAAAGCTGCAGTTGTAAGGCCCGGGGGATTAGGCAATCGCGTTTAAATGCCCTGCCGTGTCGTTGGGCTGGAGGCGCTTCCCCGCAGCCAGCTCTGCGGGTGACAGTGCGCAATGCAAGCTCTGCCTGCTTTGGAAGGAAGAATTTAAAGGCTCGTAATGTGCGTGGCTGGGAGCGTGTATGGGACCAGGTGAGCGTGGGGAGGACCATGCGTGGGACAGGTCAGGGCAGGCATCTCACGGTGGCCTTTTTTGCTGGTGCTGTGCAAAGGGGTTTGCAGGTGCGCAGGAGGAGCGCTGGTTTACTGTAGCTGTGTTTGGGGATGGGCAGGATGAATCCAGAGCCTCCCCTCCATTGCGGAGGAGAGGTACAGCCTGGGTCAGTCTCAATGGCTGGTGGCCGTGGTAGGGACCATGGAGTACTAGGCTGAAGCTGTCGACCTTTCTTGCCCTGTGAGCCACGGAGCGATGTCGTCATTTGGCCGGGAGACATGGGACATCCTACATATCAGGGAGCTCTAGGATTTGTCTCCAAGGGAGATGCAGTTACAAGTCCTTTGGGGTCCCACCAGACAGAAGGATGAAGGAGACTCTTCTAGTTGCTGTGGGATTGCCCAAATCCCTCCACCTTTCTGTTGAAGGAGGAATCCTTCTGGAAATGGCAGTGACTTTGGATGGTGAGGTGTTCCTTGGGGGTACCTTGTTTTTGTTTGAATTTGGCATTCCACTGGGGATTATTTGCAGTTTTCTTGGGGTGATCTCAGTGCCAGAACGTGCTGCAAATATCAGTTCAGTGCAGAGCCAGGCCACCAGATCATCCCGGATTCCTTGTCCCAGCCTTTGCGTTGTTTTTTTGTAAACACACTGACAGCTCGAGGTTTATTTCTGTGGGCTCTGTAAGTTGATCTTTCCGTGACTGCTGGGGAACAGTATTGCAACATTCCTGCCTCTTCAGCTAAGGACATCGTTATGAGGCAGAGTGTATTTTTATCGGATGAACTCATCTGAGCTCCCAGGGTATGAGTAGAGCTGCTCGTTCCTGATGTGCACCTCTTTCTCCCCCACCATCCATGCAATCCCTATCGAAATGCACTTGTGGAGCTCTTGTGAAGGATTAGCTATGTGCTATTGCACTTCTGGTGCAGATGGTGACCTTAATGGCCAAGGTCATGGGACAAGGCAACCTGGCCACATCTCGTTTTACTCCTTCTTTGAGTGGCAAGCCTGTATGTAAGAGCATGGCTCTTTGCAAATGTGCTTTTCCCTCTCTGCTACCTCTTTTTCCTGGACGTGGTTGCCACCGCTGGCAACGGGTCCATTCCTTGTCCAGCGCTGAGGCCTGCTGAGGCAGTCTACACAGGCAACATCCCGCCCTCTCCAGAAAGATGCTTAGTCCCACTCATCCATAGAGCATCCCTCCAGGGATGTGGCACTGGGACTAGCTTACTGCTAAGGACTCGGGAGAAATCCCTGGCCCTGTTGCTCCCAGGTCCAGACTGTGGTTTTGGAAGGAGCAGGGTTGCTAGAGAAAGCAAAAGTGCAGGTACTAGGGCCAAAGAGAAAGCCCTGTTGTAGCCTTTATGAAGAAGACGCGTCCCAGGTGAGGAACAGATTGATGGCTCCATTAGGGCATCTGCCTATTGCTCTTAATGGTGAATTTGAGTCTTTCACCATGGGGATACCAAAGCAAGGACAAGGCAGAAAAGCAAGAGAACACGTGAAGGAACTGTCCTGGGAGAGATGTGTCCACTCCGTGTCTTAGCTATGGCGAGTATCTGCACCTGCATCTGCTTTGCGCTGGCTGCAGAACGCTCACTGGGTAGCATCACCGGACTGAAGAGCTGCAGGAACTGAGGAAACCATTCCCAGCTTTCCCAGTGCCTACACCCTATTCCTCAACTGGTGGCGGGAGATCAGAGCTAATTAAAACATTTATGTGGAAAATTGTTTTTCTTCCATGAAGGACTTTTTCATAGGAGCCCAGCGGTCCTGTTTTCCCCCTTTCATAAAAATAGCGTATTCACTCTGTTGGTGATGTGATATTTTGCTCCAGAAGGGCACATTTTTCTACATGTTCTTTCCCCGATTTATTCAGCTAGCGCCCATGACTTCATTTATTTATTGTAAATAAACAGCTGATACCATTTCTTGCAAGCTCTCTTTCTGTGCCACTCTTTGTTACTGCTCTGGCAACAAAACACTTAATTGCCCTTTGTCAGGCAGCAAATTTTTTGTACCCATCTGGACAGGGCTGTTTTAGTGTGACATTATTAATTAACCCTGTGGCTCCCAGTCAGGTCCAAGCTGGAAATAGAGCCAGCCCCACTGTTAAGACCAAAGGATTAGCTAATTTGAGTTCAATAAAGCCTGGGGGATTCACAGTGGCTGTTTGGGGATTTTTCTGTGGAGATGGAAGGTGGGAAATATCTAAAATTGAAATGACTCTGGGAGACAATTTTAGTAATTAAAGGCTTAATCTTGATTTCAATTTACCCATGAAGTAACTATGCTAATGGCCATTGGAGCCCACCTGCATTTCAGCTGTTACCATGTTGAGCATCTCTGGTACTGAGATGTTAATGAGTCTTTATTTTGTACATGCTCCTGCAGGCTAAAGCCAATTTTTCAGCTGGATTTGGTAAGCCAAGTAGTTTCTGGGTAGCTATGTCTGGCTGTTATCTGGGGTCCATCTCAAACTAGGCGCAATTACTGGATGTCCGTTGTGCTCGTGTCAGTGGGAGCTTGGAGCAGACCTCACCTGCGGGACGTTGGTTGTTATTTCTGCTTGAGAATGGTCCGTGCTTGGATTTGCAGGAGAGAGGTTGTGGGACAGGCTTTGAAGGGGACTGGCAGAGGGATCAAGAGCTGTTCTAGTTGAGTTGTGCCCATGTTATTGGGTTTAGGGCCAGGTTCATACAAATGTTGCCTCCATGCATTGCTCTGAGTCCAGAGTTGACGTGGGATGAGGTTGATTACTGTGTGTTTCCATCACTGCTGCTGGCTGCCAGTTGGGACCAGACCGGCCCTGTTGTGTGTCTCTTTCCGTTTGCGCATTTGGGCTTTGCCGCAAGTGGAGTCTCCCAGTGGTCTGAGGGGACATTTTTTTCCACTGTGAGAGACTTGGCAATGTAAAAGCCCATTTACCTGAAAAGGCTTCCCTTCTCTTGCAGGTTCTCCAGGTCAGATGAGCTGTCCCGGCACAGGCGCTCCCACTCGGGGGTGAAACCCTATCAGTGTCCTGTCTGTGAGAAGAAGTTTGCTCGAAGTGACCACTTGTCCAAACATGTCAAGGTGCATCGGTTCCCACGAAGCAACCGCTCCGTCCGCTCCGTGAACTGATTGGTCCCGCTTTCCCCTTCCCGCCCAGCCATCCTACAACAGCCGATGACAGCACTTTGCTCACTATATTTCTAGTGATAATTTATTTGTCTCCACAGAACAGTCAATGCTGTTACCTGATACCACCATGTCTGAGTATCCTATGTCCTTTAAAGATGATTTGAGAATGAAGCTCTTTTTGGGTCAAGGGAGGGGGATGCTTCTTCCTTATTGTCTTTTTTTTTTTTTTAAGTATGTTATTTTCCTTTCCTTCTATCTTTCCCTCCTTTGCTGCTGCTTCTTTTGAAAATTACAGTGTTTTATTTTTAGCTGTTTTCTGCTGCACAGGAAAATGTAAGAGTTGCTTGCTGCTAGTTAATTATAGCCCTGGCATTCCTGAGGGCTTTGCTCATGTACAGGCCATTCATTGTGAGTTTTTATTAAGCTGCTCTATTTGTCCAGTTTGGAAACAGCAAAGTCCTTTTGAAATGAAAACAACTCCTTTGTTTTTGGGTCGCCTGAGCCAAGGATTTGTAGGGGCTGGCCATAGGAGGAGGAACAGTGGGAGTCAGGGACAGGGGGAGGCAAGGCATGGAGAGCGCTGGAATGCGCCTCCGCACCTCTGATTTCTCCGGCTCACATTTACCTTTCCCTTGGCTGGGGCTATATATAAATATTTATGTATATATATTCATACATACATATAAATATATATTTAAGCAAAGGCGTACCCCAAGCAAACCCGGAAGCTCAGGCTGGATGAAATGGCTTGGAGTGGAGCCTTTTGGTGTGGCTGAGCGCGTACTTCTGTGCATGCTTCTCCTGTCCCGTGCTGCCGCGGGGGTGAAAGGGTGCCCATGCGTCGAAGGAAACGCTGCTTTCCTTTGACTCTGGTTTGCAGCGTCCACCGTCTTTAGCCGAAGAGCTGTTGTCCGGCACGTAAAGCAGCAAGAAGCCGTTTGTGAGAACGGCTGAGCTCTGTTCTGTCTCTGCTCCTGTCCTCTTGTGTGATCTTGGGGGAGAAACCCAAGCACCAGCCCAGGAGACGCCCGGTGGTCCTGGTGAGCACCGAGCACCCACCGCGAGTCAACGCCTGGCTGGTTGGAGCCAAGTCTCCTCTGTTCGTCCGCTGGCCGGCAGCGTCTTGTAGGTTGTAGCTGTACCCAGGGGAGGGTGGGAGGCATCGTGGCCTGGTGGGACAGCACTGTGAGATCTTCTGTCCGAGGGTGATCTTCAGTGCTGATCCTCTCCTTACTGACAGCTGTGTCAGAGCTCCGTGCAGCTGGGGTGGGCGAATGGGTGAGAACAGTAGCCAAAAGAAACAAATTTGTGTGGTAGCTGGCTAAGAAGGGAATTTAAACAAATAATCAGATGGTAGCAGGCAAGTGATTTTGTTTGTGTTTCTTCTCGTTTTGTTTTTCCTTTTGAACTCTGGCAATTGTAAGAAGCTTTAGAAGAAAATAGAATTCAGTAATTAGGAACGATTTTATAATGGATGTTGCATTTCCTTTCCATTCGCAGACGGCATCTGTTTGTCTTTTTGTTGGCAAAATGGGAAATGGGAAACTGCGATTCTAGCGCTAGGCAGAGCAGGAGCCCACGCTGTGCAAGAACAACAGGTCTAGATAAAGCGAATGCATTCCTTTTGTCCTCTAGAAATTAATATAAATGAACTATCATCTGTTGACTGGTTTATATCACATCCTATGAATGTATGTAAATAAAACTGTACATAGATGCATATCTATATAAAATATCTTTTAATAACGTATCAAAATTTGTGTAAATTGGAAACAAAAATACCTATAAAGCCAGTGTACATAAGTTACAATTCTGTATATTTTCTTTTGTTCTTCATAAAAATATATTTACTTTGACAATAAAATGAAAATGAAAATTTTAAATCCCTTCTTGAAATTATTATTCATTAGTTTCCTTTGTAGCCAGCTCTGTAATCAGGACAATAGCGCTTGAAATTTTGATTCACCTGGATGTAACTTTTCAGGTGCTGGGTAACAGGGAGATGATGGAACAGATCTGAAATTGTCTTCAGAAGTTTTTCTCATCTCAGAAAGTTCTTGGGAGGCACGAGATACTTCAGCTCTCCCTTCGCCGGAGCCGTCACGCCTTGCCTGGCAGCCGCACTGGGACCCGAATGCCTTCTGTGGTTTCTGACTGCTGTGGAACAGGTCTGCAGCTGCAGTAAGACGGTGGTTAGTAAATTAGAGCAAGGAGGTTTTGAGGAAATTCAAGCTCTAGTGGTTAGTGTGGAGGAGGAAGGGCTTCAGAGTCTGCTTGAGGCTGTGACGGTGACTCACTGTGTGACCCAGGACAAAAGACTCAATTGCCATGTGCCGCAGTTCCCTTTCTTGTAAAGTGGGGATAATAATGCATCATAGTGATACTGTGGGACTTAATTTATGTTTATGTGATCCTTGGATGGAAGGAACAAGCATTAAGACTGGTAGTCACAAGATTAGATTGCGAAAGAAAGGCTCGGCACGGCGGAGGTCTTGGTGCCAAGGCGCTTCAGTTGGCTCTTCTGTAAATCCCACGTCCGAAAGAGTGATGTGAAGGATCTGTGGTACAAAGCACGCCTCAGGCCTGAGGAGAAGATGCCCTGTTCTGCAACAACCATTGCTTCCCATTCGTAACAACAGGGGCATGAACGTGATGCTCTTGTGATCTGCAAGCTGGGACATCTCTTGCACTGTGCTTTTGATTGCTTGGCCTCCACTGGAAGAAGAAACCAGCAACGTTACTGGTGTTAAAATCACTTCCGAGTCTCCATGGGAGCAATGGTGCAGTGGGTCCAGATCTTCTCCCAGCAAGAATCACTCTGAGACTAATGGGCACTTCGGGATTAAAGTCTTTCCCTGAAGAACAGCCACCACAAAACGCCAGCTGATGAGCCAGGGCTCTCCAGACCCCCGGTTATTTTTCCCAGAGAATCCCTATGAGTCTGGCAAGAGGACCGAGGGATGAGGCAGTCTTAACTTCTGTTCACTCCAGGTTGTTGTTACCTCCTGAGATGTAGCCTGAAGACCAGAGTCCTAAGGACAGCTGTTTTAAGAACGCTAGTTGCGTACACGCTTTAATTAGCAAGCCTGCACCAAGAGGATCTCCGATTCCCTTCTGTTCTCACCCTATCGACATCATGCATTAAACCAGCTGCTTTATTTTAACCAGCGTCTCGGTCTCCTCCCCATCTCATCTGGAGGTCTGATATTGCTGTAGAGTTGGGCAATTCACCCTGCAAGACACTCAGGACAGAAGTTGTTATTTTGCTGCAAGAGGCAATACTTAAAGCTGAAGTGGAGTAATGCAACATACCTGCTGTTGGAGCACAGCAGTGCAGATACCTAAGATCTAAGCTATGTTTTAGCCTGGAATATTTTCCATGAAACACTTATTCTCTTTCTTTTTCTTTTCTTTTTTTCTTTTCTGTTTTAAGTATGGTTTCTGAGTGTGGATTGTGTGGGTTTTTCTGGCTAATACCTGTAAGGAAATTTAAGCTTAAGTAAAAAGTGCAATATTTTGCTCAAAAGAGTAGGGCCATGTTTGCTGTGAAAGGAGAGTTCGTTCTGCGTGAAAATTAATGACATTTTTGGAGGTTTGTCACAAAAAAGTAGAAATTTTGAAAAGAGATTTTTATGTTTGTTTTATATAGAATTACTGGCCTGCCTGGGCCTTGCTGATTAGTGAGAAAAATGTTGCCTTGCCTTAAGCCCAATTACTCGATATCCACCTGAAGATAAATATATATTTAAGTGCGTTGATGCCACAACTGTAGATAAGATTATTATGTCCCTGCTTCAGCAACTCTGCATGGCAAAGCACAGCATGGTATTGTTACACATACGCCTAAGTCTCATTGACTTAAACCATCTATAATTGGGTTTATGAGGTGTGAATGGACACATGTGCAGTGTTAGAGCCTTCACATGATGGTCATGATCTGGTTCCTAACACTTGTGAGATCTCTGTATATTTCTAAAAGGCTTTACTGGCAATTTCTGGCTGTTTATAGTCTCTTCATCAGAGCTAGTGGTGAAGAAATAGTGTTATGAGAGGTGAAGAACCATCAGCTGGGAATGTTGTACTCAAGGTAAGGGCTAAGCATGAGGAATAAGAGTGAAGTGACCTGACTTGTGTGACTCATGGCTAAACACAGAGCTAAACAGAGCAGTAGAGTGATGTGTCCAAGACCACAGAGCAACGCAAAGGGGAAATGGGAACAGAACCAAGAAGTCCCAAACGTCCTTTGCCCCAGACAGTGGCAGAGACCACGTCAGATAACACACAGCAGGCTATAGAAGGGAAAGAGTAGTAGGACACGTAAGTGAGACATCAGACAAACAAAGGTAGGTAAAGACGGGGCATGAGCTGAAGTCAGGCTGCACTGATAATGTCTACTTTTGGAAAGGATGCCAAGGAGAGGGGAATGAGAGCTTGCTGGTGTGTTGCACTTGGGAGTCACCAAGGTAAAACTCCCTAAGAAGGGTCCTGCTCTCCTGACATGTGTTATGTGGGGGTTTTTAACCCTGGCAGTTTTGGGGAGAGCTCAGGGAGCTGCAGCCCTATGGAAAGCAAACCAGCCCATCAAGCACGGTGGTGTGATGAAAAGTGGCAAATCTGGCTCTGGATAAGTGCTTGCGTTTAGACCCTGTGATGTTTGCAACAGTCCCCTGCTACCTGCCCTCCCTGGTGGGGGGGGGTCCACTTCAATCCTTGTGCCGGGAGCCTTCTCCTTGTTGAAACGGCCACTATACATTCAATACAAACAACCAGGTGACGCCAGCACAAATCCAGTGGCAATATCCAGTGTTAATGATTAGCCCGGCCCCCTTGGGTTATGTAAGCCTCGATGTGCTGTACCGTGGGCTCTTGGCTTGGACCTGCCCTCCTCATCTGGGAGAAATACCAAGGACCTGCCAACACACATAGAAAGCTGTTTGGAGCCAGCTAGGATTTTCCTTCTCCCCTTTTGACAGCACCTATGAAACCCGTTATTCACTCAG